AAAATTGCAGATTGCAATTAACCTTCCGAAACGTGCCAATGAATAGTTGGTTGACAATCTGAATGTATGTATTTTTTTAAATTTCATATATYATTTCCATGAATAGGACGGTCTGAGTCAAAACGGATCAAAACAACTCTACTGCATAGCACACCATTATTCATGCTAAACTCTTACTTTCAAGAACGAAACAAAGCGAACCACAGCAGGAMGAAACTACTGCAGTACAGGACAAAACCTGCACATTACTCTAGTAATTATATAGCCACATATTAATCCCAAAWAAGTAAAAGCTGGATTTTTCGTTAATTTTTGGAATCCTGTCCAAGTAAGAAATTAATTGGACAGGTTTTCAATTGGGTTTTTGTTAAAAGCTGTGGTTGGCTTTTACCTATTTGGGATCAATATGTGGCTATATAATTAATAGGTAATAAGACTCCATGCTGTCCAATTATAAATAATTAGACTCGAAAAATCCCTCTGACTGCCAAATTSGACTCGGCCACGGCCTCGTCCAATTTTTGGCAGTCCTCGGAATTTTCCTCGTYCAATTATTTYTTAATTGGACAGTATGGAGTCCTATTACATATAATAATTGTTCAAGTATTATTCAAATTAGATTCAAAAGGATTTTACTTCATACCCATTCCATTTCAAATAAATCTTATTTGGTTGGGCATACTTTTTTTTTGGGGGGGGGGAGTTGGTCAAACTGATCTCTAGAAGTTTTTCTGAACGTTTTTAGCATAAACTTTTATGTAAAAATACAAAGATATCGACTAAAAAATAAACATTCATCATGATTTAAAGAGGATATGAATACATAGAGAGATAGAGAAAGATAGCATACGTGGTCTCCCACAAGTTCCCACAAGTTCCAATATACATTTGGAAACGCGGATAAACAGTTGCTCGACTTAACACATCTCGTTAGTTTTCTATTGACGACATGGGCCTACATTCCCTCCCCCTCCCCCACGGTCAATGTTGGTCATTGTACACGAGTGGGTGTCATGTTGTCAATTTGTAWCTTTATTACGCCAACACGTTGCAAWGTCCCACGTAAAATGTCTAGGGTTGTAGGCCTAGTAAGACATCAGAGATTTACACGTCAGCGGAACATTCAGCTCCTGCGGGTCCACTGAAACGGAAGTGCATGTCCTATGTTGATAAAGGGACAATCGTTGCCAAAAACCCTTGGAACAAAGAATTGTTTGTCTCCAGCCTAACATTGTTTTCACCGTTCTTCCCCTTAACCCCCTTTCATCAATGTTGTGTTTCCTTTGGATAGTTGTGTACTAGTAACAATATGATAAATCACAATATTGCATTTAGTGGGGTAGGGGAGAAGGAATTGTCTGCGGGGGTTGACTAAACTGAGGAAATTCGCCTGAATTGTCCAAGGATTTTTGTCAACGATTGTGTGCATCTCGAGTCTGGTTGCCAGACAAAGTCTCCTTGAACGGACAAGTGGATGAATGATACTAATACTTTTTTTGTTTGTTTTATAGTTTGAATCATATTTTCATCGGTGTGCGTATATMATTTAAAAATACGCACAGGCGTCCAAAGCAAGGAAATGAAGTCAAMGAACCACATGATGTTAAGGAGGCTCTAAATGGTTACAATAAAATGCATATAAAACTACTTTAGTTTATGTAATATTGTATAATAACCATGTATTTAACTTATAGATATCTTCATAAATCATCACTTTTGATATATTTTCATGACAACGCAAAACCCCTGTGGAAAGGACCCTTAGTTTGGATAAACGCACGCTTGGTATTTGAAACACACGAGAAAATGTCAAAAAGCACGAGCTGAAAGCGAGAGTTAGAAATTATCTATATAATAGATATTGATGTCTCCATATCGCCGGGTTGAAAACGTCTATAAACTTATATATGGATAGCTCCTTAATTGATGTTGTCACTGGCAAAATAAAACTCTGTAATGCAAAACCCTGAAATTTCACAAAAAGTGGTTTTTCGTGATAGAAAAACGTTTTCRGCATSACTGTTTTTTTRCCGGATTTTTCAAGAAACTTAAAAAGCATTTGATTTGTTTAACTGAACAAATTTTAAAAATCAATATGTATAGACAACAACAGTTTAAACTCATTTTTGCAATTGTTTCTMTGAAATCAGATGAACAAATATCACTCAATTTTCGTACATTAAGTGAAACATTTTTTTTTTTCTTTAAGYGAAACATCAAAATAGCACTCACGCAAACATCTGCATCGGGAAAATAAATACCAATYAAGCACATATTTTTATGTTTAATCAGATTCTCTGTGAGAGATAATACCRCTTCTTGATTCCCGATTATTTAAACGGCTCAAGGCATTGGATTATCATTTGAATCGAGCTGGATAAAGAGACAAGATGCTCAGTGTTTTTGTGTTGTTTCTAGCTGCGTCAGCCGTCCGAGGTGGCCAAGGTAAATTACTTTTTCATCTTTTAACCTGAGGATTATAACTGAGAATATGGAAACATGCTGAAAAAAAAATTAAAATCAAAAAAATATTTATGTTTTAAGTGTTATCAGTTTAACTTGTTTGCCTGTTTTACTATTGTTATTTCTAAAACTATACGTAGTAGCAAAATTTGTAACGTAAATTTGTTTTTAATTTGATCCATGCATCATTGGTGCAGTGCAAAGATGTGCACAGGTTTTAAAAGTGTGCTTATGCAGTAGTTGGGCCTCAACTRTAAATAGCTTTATAGTGAAGACAATTTAACCCGTAAAATGCATGGATTTAAACGAGTGTCCGAGTTTGCCCAGAGATAAGTGATTTATTCCCATGTTGCGTCCTGCATTTGTTTTCACAATGTTGCAACGCACTCGGCAAAACGCTCTWCACTAAGGTACATTGAAGGTATGTTAAAGAACGTTGCAGATAAAGTTGACATTGGTAATCAAACCTATAGATTCAAAGACTATATTTTTTATTTTAATTTTAGATTTCTACTGCAATTTTGATGACGGCACAACATGTGGTTTTGTCCAAGACAAATTTACCGACGATTTTGACTGGACTTTGAAAACACACGGGACCCCTTCCGTGGATACTGGACCGACTGGAGATTGTTCACCGGGAGGCTCGGGTTAGTTATTGTAATTTCCATTGTAATTTTTAAAATCTATTAAATTGATACTGCATTTAGAGGCAATTATTCAATATGCCATTTGTATTTATTGCTCTGGATCTCCTTTATAATTTCCTCTTCTTGATACAAGCTCCTTCTATCATAATATAGAAAAAAMCATTGGAACCTAAATAACTCCAAATAGAAAAAACCTTTCGTGAATTCGATGAGTAATTATAGCTTGTAACTGTATTAATCGAAATTTTTATTCTGGTGTGACAGGGTACTACATGTACGCCGAAGCATCCTCTCCACGCAGGGATATGGACGTAGCAAGGCTTGAGACATCCCAGAAATTCTCATTCGATGGCGGCAACAAGTGTTTGAAGTTCATGTACCACATGTATGGTAAAGATATGGGTTTCATGGACGTCTATGTTGGCAATGATTTAGTGTGGTGGAGAGGTGGAGGCAGCATGGGGAATACGTGGCACTCGGCTAACATTCCAGTATTAATTTCCTCTGGCTCCTATAAGGTATTCATACAATATATATTTTTAAATTAATTGTATTCATACAATATATATTTTTAAATTAATTGTAAATGCACTATTTTGAATGCTATGTCGAATTATTGAGAGGTGTATGAACCAAATAGATAAAAATGTTGTCGGGTGTAAAAAATGTGATATAACCGAGGCGAACACCCTCCCAGCATGCCGAACATTTTTCACTGCCGTTGGACCAACTTACTCTCCAATTCGATTTTCCTCAATTAAATGCCTGGATAATTTTGTAGCATGGAAGTTATCAAACATTATTTATTAGCATTTATTTATTTTTAAGTTACTGCAAAAATTGATTTTATAATGATAAAAAGATTTCGATTTCTACGGCAAAAAAGCTAAAAGGACAGCGTCTAATTTTGGGATATAACAAAAAAGAATTAGTTTAGGAGATAAAATTAAACGAAGGAAATTATCCTTTAGCAGCATGATGAGTGAGGGTTTTGACAAATGTAGCCTTGTCTGCTAGGAATGAGATGTTTTGAGTTACGAATCCGAGCTTTCGAAAGCTCGGATTCGTAACTCAAAACATCTCATTCCTAGCAGACAAGGCTACATTTGTCAAAACCCTCACTAGTTTAGGAGATTTTGATTTTTGCGCACAGAAACGCAAAGCTTTCCAATGCTACATTTCAATCACTTTCATTTTGTGCTTTTTGAATCCCAATAAGTTGAATTCAATAATGTGTATATCATAATTTTAGGAMGCTCGTCGAATCATATTCTAACTTTATCATATGCAATTAATTCCTAGATCGCTTTTGAAGCATATAGAGGTTATGGGTACAGATCTGACATTGCTATTGATGAAATCAGTCTTGAAGATTGTACTACTGGTAATGACTCATAGTTTACCTTAAAACTATGTAATAATAATAATGACGCTGACACACTTTCTAGG